CAAGGCCAAAGAACAGTGAATAGGGAGGCTTTCAGTCACGCTGACTCCCACGTGGAAGCCCAGGTCTGGCCTACACCCGGCTCGGCCCGTGCTCCCCTGGCGTGAAAGGCAGACGTCAGAGCGCGAGGCTCGCGTGAGTGCCCGAGGGAGCTCGCGGTCTCCTTGCAGGGAATGGGCAGAGCGCTAGCAGTCACTCCCTGGGTAGGAAGGAGCTTCCTGGGAGCGGCCTCCTCGGCAGCATTTGGTGTGTGTGCGGAGACTGGGACTGTGGTCCTCGCGCCCGGACGCTGAGCTGTTGTTCCCAGCTCCCCAGGGGTACAGACAGAAATGTCCCATCTTTTGGTGACAGCTTTACTGAGATGAAAATGACAGGCGATACAATTTACCCCTTTCAAAGTGTACAATTCAGTGGCTTTTGTCTATTCACAGAGCTGTGCAGCCATCACTGCGATCAATTTTAGACCATTTTCACCACCCCAAAAAGAAACCCTGTACCCATCAGCAGTCACCCTTTCCCCCTCAGCCCCAGGCAACCTCACATACTCTGTAGAGATTTGCCTTTCTGGCAATTCTGGACATTTCAGGTAAGCGGAAAACATTCCAATTTCACAGCACCTCTGTCAGGGGCAAAGACAGACTCGGAGATCCCCTGGGAGGCCCCAAATCCTCCAGCGTCAGGATTTTTTCTAACAAGGACTTGATGGAGGGAATGGCCTTTATCTGCTTCCCCTGGAGATGAACTTCGAATAGGAAACATTAGAGATCGTTGCCACCGTTTATAGGCAAAACTTTCAATGCATTTGACAAAGAATTTCTTAATGGCTTTGCTCTTAAGCATTATTACAAAATTAGAATGCTTTGAAGACTTATGTCCATTTTTTATTCATTTTCCAGGTAGCAGAAGGTCAGGAAATTTGTGTGATTGAAGCCATGAAAATGCAGAACAGTATGACAGCTGGGAAAACTGGCAAGGTATGTCCCCAAGTTTCCGCCAGCCCATGCCGGCCTTGCGATGGAAGCACAACTTCCACCTTTGAGCCATGGACAGTTTGGCCTGAAAGGGACCACGGGGGTGATTTCTTCTAAATCCCCCTTTTACAGAGGACATTAAGATTGGAGGGCTCCTCTCACTGTCACTGATGTGTCCCTGCCTTGTGGAAAATGGGCCTTCCAAAAAAGTCCATGTATTATGTTCAGGTAGTCAAAGAACAACTGTTCTTCACTTTAATGTCTTTCAAATTAAGGAGTCTTTAATTTTTAATGTTTACATCTGTCTTGGAGGCAGTTAGTTATCTGAGACTTCTGTGACACAGCAGGAAACGATTTTACAGATTGCAAAAATTAATGCAACTCTTCAAGATAATTTCTCCACGAAGAGGACGATTCAATCTCAGATCAGGGGCTGAGCCCATGCACACACGCACAACTGAATCATTGAGGGAGGAAAAAAGGCGAGATCTGTTAGTCTTGAAATTTGTTAAAGGCAAAACTTGCTTAAAGGCATTTTTTCCTTAAAGAAAATATTATAGAAAAGTCCTTTTAAGCAATAACTTCATTATTCTACCTGCGACTAAAAAGATGCCATTAGTGAGTAAATGATCCTTTTCTGAGGGATGTTTTGGTTTGGAAGTATCTGCATGGTGGAGTGTGACTGGGGGTGGGGCTGGGGACAGCAGCAAAGGCCAGCCGTGTCCTGCATGTGTTGCATGTTGGGGATGTCAGGTGCAGAGACATCCATCCACTCACACCAAGTTTGTATCAGAGAGCCATAGTGTGTCTGTCTGTCTCATGGTCTGTCACCCCAGAAGGCAATGACCCTGATTCTCAGAGAAGGGCCCAGGGGGCGCCCTGCTTGGTCCCAGCTGGGCGAGCAGAGGTCCAGGCGTGTGCTCAGGTGGGCCCTGAGCCGGCAGCTGCATGTCTCTGTGGGGTTTTAGAGGGTAGAATGGCTTGATTTGCAGCTTTTTAGGAATTCTTTCTAAATTTAATCACTTTTTTAAAAAGTGAACAAGAAAACGTTGGTTTCTATAAATGTGAAAACGGTTTTGTTTGTTCATTGGGATTATTTAAAGTTTGTGCTGCACTAGCATCATGACATTTCCATCCTGGAGGAGAACTTGGCCTGGTTGTAGGGGACAGATATGTGTGTCCGATGCGTGCCAAGGCCCCCATGCTGCTGGACCAAGGTGCTAACGTTGGTGCCGTGACGGAGTGTGGGTCACATCTGCCAGCATGTTTTATTTCCTCGTGGCCTGGGGCTCTGTCACCCTCAGCAGCCCAGAGCTGCTTTTCAGGGTGTCGATAGGCACCCGGTGAACTCTGTCTCTTGACCTGACCCTGTGAACTGGAGTCCTTCCTGTCCCTTCTATACCCCTCTCCCCATCCCTGGGCCTCCTGAATCCAACCCAGCAGGGCCCCAGAGGAGTGGCTCGAAGCCTGGTTCTTACCTGGGAGGGTCACTTTTCCTCCCAGAGAAGAGGCTCAGCAAGGAAACAGATCCTTTACTGTAGTAATTGTAGCATCATTAAAAATACATCATAGACAAACATCTGAGGCAGCCTCTTCTGTGCGATAGCGTCTGCGAGCCAGGCCTTGCAAGTATCCACTGCATAGGTTCACATCGTTCTTAAAGACCCTGGGCTCGAGTTTAAGAAAAAAAGTCCCTTCTAGGGTGCTCACTGTGAAGGGGCAGCGACACAGGCCTGTGCGCCAACCCAGACGTCGCTGGCGTCTTTCATGTTTGCCAACTGCCCACGCAGCCAATTAGTTCTAACCCATTGTCCATTTTCACACCCACGCAAGAACCTGCAAGAAGGCAAATGACTGTCTCTTCCCTACTCCAACCATCTCCCTTCTAATATTAAATCTGAACACAAATTTGGGAAAGCAAAACTTGATAAAAATCAAGAGAAATTGGTAGAAGGCACAGTTCCACGTTCCCATATGGTGCCACGAAGGGCGACCTGTCCAGCCACACAGCTTCTGAATATTTCCTTTCCTTCAAAAGGAAGGTGATGATCGGCTAGGGAGGTCCTCCTCTTAATCAGTACCTGTTTTAACTGTTGTGTCATTTTGTCCTTTTTTGTCTTTCACACTAAGTATCCCATTAGCTCTCTGAGAACATTCTACAACCTAAAACCATAGGACAGGGAGGCTGGGTGTTCAGGACTCACCTGGCATGAACCCTTTAGACTTTCAAGATGCTGCCTGGGCCCGAGCGTGCAGTACAGGGGCCAGCGAGCCAGCTACAGCTCAGACTCCCAGAGAACACCCCTCAGGCTGGCTGACGAGGACTGAAGAGATGGGAGCGGGGAAGGTGCAGTCACAGCCACCACAGGGACATGCCTGTTCGTCAGGCTCCGCTCGGATGGGCTCGAGCGGAGCAGCTGGTACCTGTGCTCCTCGGCCTGCGAGGCTGTTCGCTTCCGGCAACGGAGTGAGAGATTGCTCCCTCCGGGTTCTGGTTAATAATTCTTACCCTCCTCCCCCATTTTTTTTTCATTCAAGGTAAAATCCATGCATTGTAAAGCTGGAGACACGGTTGGAGAAGGAGATCTGCTTGTGGAACTGGAATGAAGTTATTTATAGCCTTTCAGTCATCACCCAATTTAATTAGCCATTTGTATTATTCTTTCACACTCAATTTATTCCAGCATTTACAGGGACACTCCTGTGCAGCAGGTTTTATGTCGTCATGTTTATTCCACATAAGTCAAACCAACATTCTGCCAAAATAGCACCAATGGAAATTTTTTTGATATAAATACTTGTACATATGATTTGTACTTCTGCTGTGAGATTTCCTAGTGTCAAAATTAAATCAATAAAACCAAGCATTTGTCTAAATATTAGTTTGCCCTTTTTTTGAATGAAGACAATGTACACATCGGCTGCAGGCTGTGCCAATAGACTGTAAATACTAGCATTTCTTTGTGATCCTTTTAAAAAATTTATATTAATTCCAGTTCTCTGCCTTCCGTTTTTATCAAATTAGCACTTACCATTTTATAATCTGATTACCTTATTCTGCAACTGAGGACCTAACTCCTGTTGCTGATCATTCCTCACTTCCTAAAGACCAGAGAGCCCAGTGCTGATTCTGCCAATCCCCTTCCTGCTGTGGCTCTACGTGGGTGTAGCACTGATGGCTGTCCCCTCAGGAGGCCACCTCAGGGCTCGCTGGCTGACACGGGGTCTGTCCACTCTGCGGAGGAAAAGCAGGCTGCTGTCCTGTCCCCACTGCCACAGGCCTTGGGGCTGCCTCACTCAACCGTAGTGGGTGCGGCTGCCACAGGCTCATCAGCTGGTAGTTATCCTCGCCTTTTTGTGTTTTTGTGAAGCAAGTTTCCAATTAAGAAAAAGAGGCTAAAAATAATGATCATGTTTTTGTGCCAGATGCAGTTAGCGATCACAGTCTACCATTAAGTTGAAGCGTAAGTGAGATCTCCCAACGGAGAATGAGGTTGCTAAGGATCAGCAGCTGCATTTTCAGTTGGTTCTGAAATTCTTGGAATACATTTCATACTTTACTGGTGAGCAGAAGCAAAGAGTCGTGCGCTGATTTTGAGTCTATGCTGACAAATTATCAGATGGAGGTGGGTAGTAATTGGTACTTCGTGCCTTGCTAAAATTATTTTAAGTGCTGTTTGTATTCGGAAGCTAAGCTTCTGTCAGGCCTGAAGAACAAATTACTAATGTGTTGGTTCTCCTCTGAAAGGCCACCCCCAAAATGCTGCTCCCTCAGGAGGCAGTGACGGGCCTGGCTGCTGAGATCTGGACTCGGATAAACTTCCATTTGAAGTCTGGGTGCTCAGCTGTGTCTGCCAGCAAGTGGGTGTTCGTTATTTTGCTAGATTAAAATAAAAAGAACCTTCTACCAAGTAAATAAGTATACCAAAAAAATAAAAGGGGCCAAACATACCACCAACATTTTTATATTTTGTTTCCCAAAACATCTAGTTTAATCTCGTTTAATTTTAAATGATCATCAATGGTTTCTGTATAAGCTTGATCTAAAAATTAGATGCTATATATGCTCCAAAACAGCATGTTTTTCTTGAGGATCTTTTTATTATGTTGATGTTGAGCAACCTAAAATCAGCTTTTATTTAAAAAAATTTTTTTCCTAGGTGCTACGGAACAGAATCAGTTGAGTAGGGCTGCTAAAATCCAGCCGCCACACAAAGCCCTTACATTCATTTTAAACGTTATCTTCAGATTAAAGCAAAGCAAAAAGGAGGGAGAGGAGGGGAAGAAGAAAGGAAAGTATGATAACACGAGTTCTCCAAATGCCATTTAGGGGAATCCAAATCCTAAATTTTTCTTATCTAGTACGTTCTAGCCCAGGACACTCTTTAAGCAGCAAGCAGTGAAGCAGTATTAGAAAGAAAGATCTGCGAGGACAATTGCAAGTATGTCAAAATTTGTAATATCAGCTGCCATTGAAAGAGAGATTGTTTGCTTTTCCCACAGATTGAGTTGTTCACAAAGACTCCGCTGAAAGGCGCTGCTACGCCCTTGCACTGAGTGCGCACAGACTGCGCTAACCCCACACCCCAGGCCTGCCTCTCCCCTGGCAGCGGCGCGGTCCCTGCCCTCCTCATCTGTCCTCCCTGGGAGTGTAGCGCAGCCCGTGCTGCCCCTCGGAGTCGTAGTTGTCGTGGTACGGGAGGTGGACCCACTCGGGCGGGTGGGTGGCCGTGCTGTACACGAAGCACTGCACCGTGGTGTCGGCCGCCAGCGTGTCCTTGGGACCCTCACCCAGGTCCTTGAGCACCCGCACCGTCACCGTGGTGCGCTGGTACATGTCTGGGCAGCCTTCGAAGTCGTCAAGGAAGCGCAGCATCTGCTCATCCACCGCGTAGATCTCGCCCTCCACGCAGCGGCCCTTGCCAGGCAGGTTCAGCAGCCGCGGGATGTTGTACTCACCAGCGATGACCAGCGGGTAGGGCTGCAGCGTGCGGCCACGTGCGCGGAAGGCGGCGGAGCCGTGGGCGCCGTCCAGCATGACCTGGTGGTTGGGCTGGCCGCGCTTCAGGGTGCCGTACAGGAAGACGTGGGCCATTCGGACGGAGCGGCTACAAAGGAGACGGGAAGCGGACGCGTCAGCCAGTGGCGGCGGCGGGGTCGCACGCTTTGCCTGCGCAGGGCCAGGGAGGCGACGCTGTGCGCTCTGGGCTGTGTCCCTCCCAGCTCCTCCGCTCTGCTGGTCGTAGACCAGATGTGAATGAACGAGCGTGGCCGTGCTCCGCAAGGCTTTATTCATGGACACCGAAACTAGAATGTCATACAGTTTTCATGTCACGAAATGTTTTGATTTTTTTCAGCCTTTTAAAAATGTAAAAGCCATTCTCAGTTTGTGGGCTGTTCAAAAGCAGACGCCAGGCCAGATCTGACCTGTGGGCTGCAGTTTGCCAATCCCTGGTCTAGGGCAAGGGGCACACGCTTGTGACTTCGTCCATGCGTCTGTAATAGGGCACCCGTCTCCTGCGGCAGGAAGACGGGGCTCACCAGCCTCCCCCTGTGCTACCTGGATGGACCAAAGCAGAATTCCCACTTCACACGGCTGCCCTGGCTCTCGCAGGGACCACCACGTGCAGCCCATGCTGCATGACAGCCCCTTAGCGCCACCCGCACGGGAGCCACAGCAGAGCCGGAGCGTCCTCCCAGCTCTGCGATGGCCTTTGCTGCCTGACTACTGAGTAAGGATCGCCTCTGGTCTCACAAAGACCTGGCCTCGTGACCGCCTCAGCCTGCCTCATGTCCTTAAGGTCACCATTCTCAGCCCTGGCCCCCCACCCCAGTGGTAACAGCTCAAGGCCCAAGGACACCCTGGCCAGGCCACAGCAGTGACCTCCCAGACCCACCCTGTCTGGCCAAGCAACTGCTCCTCTCCTGAGCCCCCAGCACAGCCCAGAGAATCCACTGCACTTGGCCATCGTGTGCTGAGGCTCCCAGAAACACCAGTCACCATCTGTGGCTGCCAATCTAGGAAAAGGCTCACATCCCAGCTGTTTGTCAGATGGGGACAGCCAGCCTGTCCTGTGATCAAGCCCTGCAGAATTGTCATTTTCTTTCTTTTCTTCCTTCCATTCCCTTCCCCCTACCCTCCCTCCCTCCCTTCATCCATCCATCCATCTAAAACAGGGTCTTGCTCTGTCTCCCAGGCTAGAGTGCAGTGGCATCCTCATAGCTCACGGCAACCTCAAACTCCTGGGCTCAAGTGATCCTCCTGCCTCAGCCTCCCGAGTAGCTGGGACTACGGGTGTTCGCCATGACAGCTGGCTAATTTTTCTATTTTTTTGTAGAGATGGGGTCTTGCTCCTGCTCAGGCTGATCTTGAACTCCTGGTCTCAAGTAATCCTCCCGCCTCAGCCTCCCAAAGTGCTGGGATTCCAGGCGTGAGCCACCACACCTAGCCTGCCATTTCTTGAGCAGTTTTCAGTCTTTCAAAAAGGACTTTGAAAATTGCAACAATACATTTATAGAAAAATCAGAAATAACAAGCATATATAATGTGTATTTTCTATAAGCACCTATAGTCCAGCTACAAGAAAGAATTCGAGTTTCAGCACTAAATTTACATTCCAGTCCTGGCAGTATGGCCCAGCAAAACTTCAGCAATCACACCTTTCAGCGTTTCCTTTTTCAAGGTCTTAGAGGGTAATGATCCTTCATGGTGACTCACTGTGACTCACCGCAGCGACCTGGGCTCCAGTGTGAAGGTAAATGTTTACCACTTGCCTGGGTCTGTGCCACGAACTGTTACAGAAGGACAGAAGTGATCTGTGTAAAAGTGACTCAAACGCAAATGGAAATGAAGGCTGAAAGGGGCGGCCCCGTTTGCCCCGCACGGCTTAATGACAGCCTGTGGCAGGCGTCTGGGAGCCGGGACTGCAGGTGCAAGAAAACAAAAGATGCATCCATCAACCAGCCAGTAACGTCTGGGTGGTGACACCCTCTGGACATGGACAGGTGGCCCTTGGAGAAGTCATACTTAACTCACAGGACTTCTGTTTTCTTATCAGCAGACACCCGGGCTGCTCCGGGTGTTGGCCTGGCCTCTCCTCTCCAGGGCCGTCCCGGAGGAGGGCGGCCCCTCACCCCTCCTCCTCTCTGCTGCCTCTGAGCTGGCCCCCAGCGTGCGTGACACCAGTATCCCCTAGATTTCAGGCGCATCATATCAGGAAAGGTGTGGCCGTGGGAAAAACACCAGGCTGGCCAGGCACACGCACCCCAGCCGGCCTGGCCGTTTGGTAGCCCTGGGGCTAGGTAGCCAGGGTGGGGACGTGATCTGACCCCTAGTTACAGTGACTCTGACAACAGTGGGGGGCTTGTCAGAAGTGGGGCGCACCTGTGATCTGAACGTCAGGATGCAATCAGGAGGACCCTGGGATGGGGTGGTGCAGAGGGGGGAGGAAGGGCAAGTACTTGAGCCAAAGTCGCCAGAACTTGGCTGCTAGGGGAACCGACAGTGAAAATGACACGCATCGGCCGAGAGCAGAACTGGCGGGCAGTGCGTGGCTGGAGAGTATCCGGAGAGAGCGGCAAGGACCGGGGTGCAGGGCTGAATACGGCAGCGGGCGAGGAGTGCCCAGAGGACGAGGGCAGATCTGGATGGACCCACGTTGGGAAGGAGTCACGCAGCGTCCCCACGCCTGCACCCCAGCCCCGCGACTCCGTCTCCCGCAGGGGCTTCCTTGTTCCCTCCAGCCTGTCCCCAGCGCAGCCCCCAAGGGTCCTTGGCGGCCTCCTGCGGACGCGCCCTCTCCCACTGCAGCCCCTGCACGGCGGCCGGCTCTGCCCCGCGAGGGGCCACTGCTGACCTGAGCCTGCCCGGCCGGGCCCGACCCGGGCAGAGGGGGGACCAGCCCTCCTCAGCGCCGGGCTCACCTCCTCTGACTCAGTTTATCGAAGTAACACTTGTCCATAGTGTCACTAGTCTAACAGCTTTACAAGGAAAATGAAATTTCCTACCCCCCCTCCACTCCCTGGAGGCAACACTTTGAAGTCTTTTAACTCTTGTATTTGGTATCTATGTCCATAATGTTACTTATACCACTACTTTTTGATATTTTAAGTTATGTCTTGCCTTTCTACCCCAAAAGCAGGTGAGCATAGTGTTTTAAAGCGCAGACTTCAGAACCAAATTGCCTGGGTTAAAATCCTGGCTGTACCACTTAGTAACTGTGCTACTTTAGGTAAATCAATTGACCTCTCTGTGCCTCAGCTCCCACTGTACAGGAAGTCGGCACAGCCACCTGCCGCTGGAGGCTGCTGTGGGTTCACATCACAACGTGGGCTCAGCCCGGACCCGTTCCGGCGTCGGAGCTCTGTGAACGCCGCCCTCGGCTAAGACGCACAGTGTACTACGGCTCAGTTTCCTTCTTGGACTTTGTCTGTCTTGAAATTAAAAATGGCTTCAGATTGGTTTTGCTGAGGTTTCCGGGACAGTGGCTCAGGCTCCCATTTGCCGAAAGCACCGTCAGGACCGGGAGCCCGTCTGCTCCAGTCTGGGTCCTCAGGGTCACAATGTCGCTGCCACTCTTGCTTCCCTTGGCCTCTCCCTTCTGTGGGAGCCCCGGCCCCTTCCTTGGTTGACTGCCTCATTTTGCTGAAGCTCATTCTTTCCCACCGTTGGTTAATAGTGTGGCTGGGTAGAAGATTCTAGAAATCATTTCCTTCAGAACTTTAAAGGCATTTTCTTCATTGTCTTCTAACGTCCCCAGGTCTTGCTGAGAAGTCCAGCGTGTTGTGATTCATGGTCCTTTGTGTGTGACTTGAGTTCTTCCCTGGAGGCACTTCAGGTCTCCCCTTGGTCCCTTGGATTCTGAAATTTTATGATGTGACTGGTGGATCTGTGCTGGGATTTCAACACGAACACTCATTACTCTGGATCCCGGGGGAATGTTCTTCCCTCTCCTTCCTCTTTGTTCTCTTTCTGGATCTCCCAATATTCCGGCGGTAGATCTCCTGGTTTAATCCGCCAGCATTCTGTTCTTTTCTCCTTTCTTTCAGGTCTTTTTCTTTATATTCTACTTTATGTTCCTATTCTTCTGTTTTTGTAAAAAACATGGCCAGGCACAATGGCTCACATCTATAGTCCCAACACTTTCGGAGGCTGAGCCGGGAGGATTGTTTGAGGCCAGGAGTTCGAGACAGCTTGGGCAACCTGGTGAGACCCCATCTCTATAAAAATACTAAAAAATTAGCTGGGTGTGGTGGCACGTGCCTGTAGTCCCAGCTACTCAGGAGGCTGAGGTGGGAGGATCCCTTGAGCCCAGGAGTTCAAGGCTGCAGTGAGCTATAATGACGCCACTGCACTCCAGCCTGGGTGACAGAGTGAGACTGTCTGCAAAAAAAAATTGCCATCGTATTTATTTCCAAAATCTTTTTCTCGTTCTCTATTTTTCTTAGCGTCCTGTCCTTCACAGACACAATCCCTGAGTTTTCTTTTTCCCTTCATTGCCTCTCTTTCTCCTGAATTCCTCTTTTCTGTTTTGCTATCTGTGTTTCTTTAACAGGTTTTCTGCAAATGTCAGTAATCTCTGTCTGGCCTTTCGTATGGAACCGAGATGCTCTTTAGAAGTGAGGCTGCAGTCTGCGTGAGGCAGAGACGGCCCGATAGTTGGAGGCCTTGTGTGGGGACTCTGGGGACAGGTTTGGGGGGCCCCAATAATCTCCATGTCTGTGGAGTTTCTCTTCACCCCCATTTTCAGGCTGCCACTGCAAGCGGGGCCCGCTGTTCCCAACACCAAGGCTAGAATCCAGTCAACTCTCTAGAAAGGAACCCACTGTCCTCTGTTGGGTTTGAGGGGAGACTGTGAGGTCTCTCTGCTCCTTGTACAGACTTTCAGCCTCTCCTGTTTCTAGCCCTGCCCTTGCCTTCCACGCCTGTGGCCTACAGTTCTGGAGCTTTCTGGCGTTGCAGGTACTGGTCAGCTAATTTCTCTCTCGCTCACTCCTCACCACGCAGGAACTCAGGTTTCTGGCATCTCTAGGCTGCTAACTCAGCTACCGCCCGCATCTGTGTTCTGTCTTCCAGAGTTCTGTTGCCCGCTTTCCTCCTCTGTCTTCGTGGGCTGAGTGGCACTTAGGGAGGATGCAGGGACAAAGGAGCCTGTTGCTCCCACTGTTCTTTCCTTCCTCTGCACCGCCAGCCCTTCTACAGGGCACATAGCCCTTGTATCTGAGAGCCTTGATGTGAACCAGAAAGGAAACCACGGGACAGGAGCTGCTTGCTTAGAAAGCTGGCGGGAAAGTTTATTCAGATACAGTTAACGAGAGTGTGTTTTAGGTCTCCAAGAAGACATCGGTAAGGTGGCACCTGTGGGCACTGGAGAAAGGGCTGGAGCCAGGTGGAGGTTGGGGGCAGAGGGGGTCTTGCTCTGCCTGCTGCCAGGACAAGAGGGGAAGGGGCAAGGCAGCGATGGCAGGAGAAGCAAAGCCCTGTGCGCCGCAGGAGTGACGCCGGCACACACGGCGAGCCAGACCACATGAAACGGAAGTGTCGTGGAGGGGAGGCAGGACACTTAGTGGGAGAGAGCTCGCCGCCCTCCCTCAGAAGCTGCTCCTTCAACAGGAGGTGACAT